CCCCAAAACCCCAAAACCCCAAATAGTTACAAATCCAAAAATTAGATAAGTTTAAAAAACTTTATTGGAAAAGATAAAAGTCAATTATAAATATAAATAGGACAAATCTTAATAAAATGAACGAATCTGATTCCTCTCATTCGGACAAGCAAGGTCTGCTAAGTTCAACTTCCTCTGAAAAAAAGAAATCAATGGGCGCTAAAATTCTTGCATTAGGAGATGGAGAAGATGAAGATGAGATAGCTTCAGAAATTGATAAAGAATTAAATGCTGAGGCCTTCAGAATGGGTGTAAATGGTAGAAGATTGCTGTATCTTGGAATGCTTTGCAGTGTGCTCTTCATGAATCAAATCGGTTTCAGTATGCTAAATATTGCTGACTCCTCCTAACTATAGTATATGCCTGGCATTTTCTTTTTGGCTTTTTTCACAACAACTACTGAATGGATCGAGAAGCATGGGCTGTGGAGAACAACTCTTTTGTCTATTGCAATTCAAATGTTTGCAATCTTATTCGCAATGAAGGGAGGATCATATGGTAGGACTGCAGGAAGTATAATGAATGGAATAGCCATGTGCTTTTTATACAATCAAATTACTACTTTCTCATGCACTTGGTTTGGAATAAGAGGAAGGATCGTGGCAACAGGTATCTAACTATTTTTTGCCAATCTTGGATATTGGTCTGCTGTTTGGGCTGACTATGACAATAAATATAAAATCTCAAATGATTTCTTTAATGATTCATTCTTGGGAATAGGAGTTGCCAACTTATTCCTACTTTTTATAATAGCCTTTTTCTACGAAGCAAAGCCAGAAGATTGCCCTAGTAAGAGCCAAGCTATCTATAAAAGAGTTGACTATGACTTGCAAAGAGATTTTGAAGTTCTAAAAGATGAGAGAATATTTAAGAGAGGTTTCTCCATGCTCTGTGTACTCTTGATAATCACATATTTCTCGCCATACTGTGTAAGATGGCACTATTCTAAGTTAGTTCATTCTGACCACAGAGATGGAGAAGTAATCCACTTTGTGATAGTTCCTCTTATGCAACTTTCAGGTCTTGTTGTCTCAACGATTCTACTGGCTAGATACTTTAGATTTAAAGTGTAACTTACTATTGTTATTTGGGCTAATGTAATTGCAATAATACTCTGTGAGGCTGGTTTACTCGACGGCACTCATGTACTGTTCTACATTGGTTATATCTTAGAATCATTTTTTATTGGTTGCTTGCAAATCATAATCTATGAGTTGGTTGTAGAATTAAGCTTTCCTGTTAGTCCTGCACTTGCTTTATCTTCTCTTCATCTCGTCGCTTTCCCAAGTATTTTAGTGCTTAATGCTATAAGTGATGATATTAATATGAGAAATCAAACTTCCTCAGTCATTAATGATTGTTTACAATTTATATAGGCAGGTATCCTTGCCTTCATTGCTATTGGTATTTGGTAGTTAAGCTACAGACTGAAAAGAATTGAATTTGATTTAGGAGAGGGGACTGCAAGATAGTGAGCGAATATTTATAAGCTATATGATTATGAAATTTCTTATCTTTAAATCATTCATCCATATTTTTACATTTATATTTTTAGGGGTTTTGGGGTTTTGGGG